CATCCACCCCCTTCATCCAATATACAAAACAGCCTCCCCTTCATCCAATTAAGACAAAACATCCTTTTCCCTTTTCAGTAAGACAAAACAGCCTCCCCTTCATCCAAGGAAGACAAAACAGCCTCCCCATCATCCCCATGAAGACAACACCAGTCCTCTCCTTCATCCAAGAAGACCAAAAACATCCTCCCCTTCATCCAAGAAGACAAAACAGCCTCTCCTTTGTCCATGAAGACAAAACAGCCTCCCCTTGTCCAATAAGACAAAACAGCCTCCCCTTACTAAGAGACAAAACCAGCCTCCCCCCTTCATAAGAAGACAAAACTAGCCTTCCCCCTTCATCTAAGAGACAAAAAGCCTCCCACTTATCAAGAGACCAAAACAGCTCCCCTTCATCTAAGAAGGATCAAAACACGCCTCTCCCTTCGTCCAGGAAGACAAAACAGCCTCCCCTTCATCACAGAGACAAAACCAGCCTCCCCTTCATCAAGAAGACAAAACAGCTCCCTCTTCATCTAAGAAGACAAACAGCCTCCCCCTTAATCTAAGAAGACAAAACAGCCTCTCCCTTCATCCAAGAAGCTCAATATACAGACTCACCTTCACTCCAAGAAGACAAAAACAGCCTCCCCATCCACACTCTCCCTATTCAGCTAAATGCAAATGTTAAAAAAGGTTGCCACTATTGTTCTACTGTTGATATCATTCTGTGTATCCTGCTCAGACTTACACAATCAAAATAACTAACTTCATTTTTCCTTTCTGCCAGCATTACAAATTGTAGTTTATATGTAATAAAATATTGCTGAGCATAAAGAGCACTATAATATGCAGCATTTTTGGTAGGGACTAATTCGTAACGCATTGAACCTACTGACAGGATCAAGAAAAGACACTGTATTCTAATTAGCTTCCTCTGCCAACGACCATTAAAAAGATTCCCATTAATCACATTCTCAAAAAAATTTTTAAGTGTTTCCCAGCCTCCTTCCTCTTCAGAGTTGTTTATTCAGCATCTTCAGCTTCAAGTGTCGATGATGCTCCATGGCATCCACACCATCTGGTCTTTCTACATGCCCCCTGCTCAAATTTGTGACTTTTGGTAATACATTTTACTTTGATTTCAAATTTAATACATCAATGTGTGTTCCCAACATGTTTAAACAACCACTGCAGTACTTACTGTGGCACTGGTAAGAGGAGTAGCAAATGTGTAAAAAAAAAAAAATGCAAGATATCTCTTACCATAACATGGCAATAGAGAATGACATCAAAGTTAAGGAAAATTTAACTTATGTTAAGTGTTGGTGCAGTTGGCACTCATAAATGAAACTCTTAGTCATTAGTAACTAAAACTAGTCCATAAGTAATCAAAGATACAAAAAAATTGCCACTTCATTATGAGGCAAGTAAGACTGCTCAAGTTGCACAGGACTTAGCCCATAAATGATTTTGCAAAAAAAAAAAAAAAAAAAAAAGCCATGGAAGACTGTAACAGTGATGAGTTCTAAAGACTGCAAGATTTTGCTGTTACTGGATAATTGCTGTGGTTATTCACATATTAAATAAACAAATTATATGCAATGTATAATCCACATGTGAGAATGGACATTTGTGCCACCTACCTGTTATTGCCCTAATACAGCCCATGGATCAAACAATGAGACAGAATTCAGAGACACATGTAACAACTAGATTAAGCAAGCCACCTTACAGTAAAATGAAAAGGGATATCATGAAACCTTCAAAAAATATACACTATTAAATGTGGCCTTGATAATGTTGCAGTCACTGGATGTGGTGACACTTAAGAATGTCTGGACTATGGTCTGCAAGCTTGTTTAAGTAATGGTGGCTCTGGTAAAGAATATAACTTTGAAGGCTCACATCTTAAAGGTTAACATCTGCGAAATAATTCCAGGTAGAGATGAGAAAGATATTAGAAACTGGACAGATTTTTGATACATATTTTTTAATATTAAACACTTAGTGATCCAAATATTATTGATGCAGCCATTTATCTTGAGGGTAAAGGCAGTAACTAGTGATGACAACGATAATAAGAACCAGCTAAGCAAAAACCCCTGAACAGTTAAAGTTTCTGAAGGAAAGAAAGATTCTCACTTTCCACCCCAATCAGAGTAAAAGTTTGTGTTCACAATCAAAAATAATGCAAATGTCAGTAAAATTCATTGGTAATTTATTCTTATAATCTTTAAGAAACTAATACAATGATCCCCTTCCGAATGTCAATTTTTTTTTATTATTAACGCATCGGCCAGTTCCCACCAAGGCAGGGAGACCCAAAAAATAAAAACACTTTCATCATCATTCAGTCCATCACTGTCCTGTAAGAGGCACACTTACACTACAGATATAAAACTGCAACTTATCAACACCCCTCCCTCATTCACATAACATTAATTTGGAGTCACACAAAACAACTTAAGACTGTACCCTCTGCTAAATGGCTAACTTTTATTCAACTAACAATCATATTTAAGGCTCTAGCCCCTTCCCCCAATTAACACTTTCACTGTCAGTGCCGTAATATTACGCCAAAATTCTAGCAGCTTCCGATGTTGCAGAAGAAAGCTGGTAGGCCTACGCATGAGAGAATGTGTCTGAGTGGCCAGTGTGTGCAGTATAAAAAATCCTCTAGCACACAGTGCATGATAAAAAACTATGACCGTGTTTTTGGTTTAAAACACCGACTTTGTGGTGTATTTTTGTGCGGTATTTATGGTTGTATTCTCATTTTCTTGGTCTCATTTGATAGAATGGAAAATATATTACAGAAACAGAGATGATTTTGACTGGATTCACGATGGAAAGTACCTTGAAATTGAGCTCAAAGTAGCAGAAATGTTCGATATCTGCCAATGTTCAAGCGTAAACAAATGACGTCACCATCCAATACGTGTCCAACTGGCAAATCTAATATGCAGTCACGAATGAGTTGACATTATTTATACAATTATTACAATAATGCAGTAGTCTGCATAACAGTAAATCTTCTATTTTTTGAGTGAATAAAAATTCAAAATGGAAAGCAAGCATAATATAAAAGGGACCTGGAGACATGACTAATGAACAAAGAAAATGTTATTTTACTGCCAGGAATGTCTATTTTGTTTATTCTGGACCCTATTTTGAAACTGGCATCTGTTGAAATTTGTGTGAAATTTGCCAAATTGACAATTTCTGACCACTTTATTGGGTCGCTGAAACTAATAAATGGTCAGTTTCTTGTACTCAGTTGATAGCACAAATGGAGTTCTAGCAAAATAGCTATGAGTTTGGTAAATTGGAACATTGGAATTGGCCAAAAATAGGACTCAAAGTGGGCAAAATTGCCAATGAGTAATTATAGCCAAGACCTTTAACTTTGCAAGAGTGTAATTCCATAAGTTTTCCATCAAATTTCATACTTTTGGTGTCATTACCATTGGGAAAAGATTATCTATCATTTCATAAGAAAAAATAATTTTTTTTTAAATTCTTCAACATGGAGAGCAAGTTTGTGAGCAGGGGTCATGACAGTGAAAGGATAATGAATGCTTCACTTTACAATGACTAAATAATTTTTAACACAGGTAAATACATTTATTGTTTATCACCTCATAGGTCTCCATACAGGATTAAATATATTGTTTCCCTGAGATGGCCTAAGGGCTGTTTAACCCTTTGAGTGTCAAGACCCCTGCTGCTCACAAACTTGTTTATAGTGTCAAAAATTTAAAAAAAAAAAAATAAAAATTTGTGAAATGATAGAGAATCTTTTTCCAAAGGTAAATTCTTTTTCCAAAGGCTAATTCCTTTGTTCCACTTAACCAAACTCATAGCTATTTCGCTAGAACTCTTTTTATTCTATTGACTGAGTGCAAGACACCACCTATTTACCTATTTCAACAACACAAAAAAGTGATCAGAAATTACTAATTTGGCCAATTTCACACAAAATTCAAGAAAAGCCAATTTCAAAATAAGGGCCAAAATAAACAATGCAGACATTCCTGGCACTAAAATAACATTTTCTCTCTTCATTAGTCATGTCTCCAGGACCCTCTTCTATTATGCTTGTTTTTCATTTTGAATTTTTATTCACACAAAAAATAGAAGATTTACTGTTATTCAGACTACTGCATAATCATAATAATTGTATAAATAATATCAGTGCATTCGGGAATGCATATTAAACCCACCAGTTGACGTGTATTGGATGTGTGATGTGATTTGTTTACTCTTGAACATCTTCAAAAATCTAACATTTGTGCTAATTTGAGCTCAATTTGAAGCTACTTTTAGTCAGTAAACCATTTAAAATCACCTCCATTTCTGTAATATATTTTCCATTCTATCAAAAGAGACCAAGAAAATGAGAATAAAACCATAAATACCATATGAAAATAGATCACAAATTCGCTGTTTTAAGCCAAAAACACAGCTGCATTTTTTCACAACCCAAAAGTAGTCAGCCTAGGAGCAGTTACAACTTTCTAACCAATCAGTAACAAAAAAAAAATTGATAATTCTTACAGATACAATTAGACCCAAATTTTTATACATTTTGGTTATGCACTCATAAAACAAGACTACCACACGTAATCAGCATCACTGTGGGAACACATTTTTGTAATCTCATCATATAAAAAACTAGATGGCATTTGATAAAGAAAATTATTATTCATGGACTTCTAAGGGTATAACACAATTTGCTTAACTTATTTTTTGCCTAACAACCCATCTCTTGGGCTCCATCTAGGTTGTTAAAACAGGGGTCCACTGTAATCTGTTCATGTGAGAAATGATTAGCAGTTAAATTTTATCCATTTTCAGACACTATTACTTTGTATTACTGTATACACATCATAACTTCATTCACTACAGTACTACTGAATTACATGAAGCACAGCCTTAAGCTATGAGCATAAACACAAGCAGAAAATCATGATAAACTATATACAAGAGAAACTACAAAATCTTAAGATCTGGCTCACCTTCTTTGTTTACGTCGTAAATCTGCAGCTTTGGGTCCTGCCCCACTAAGACTGGAGGAATCAGAGCTAGCAGCTTCTCCTCCCTTTAGTTTGAGGATACATTCTGAAACAATGTTGGTAAAATCACAAACAATATATTAGGTAAGAAGACACAAGTGCAACTAATGTGACATTTTCATTCTGGCAACGTTTCACTCTCCAGGAGCTTTGTTAAGTCGTTACAAACAATACAAGGAGGCTTTGATAGAATATATGTAGGTAAAACAGCAAGAAACCTAGAAATATGTCTCAATGGATGAAATTCAAAGACACCTGCCTAGTGATTAACCTTTTCAAGGTCAGAATCCCTGCTCTCAAACTTGCTCTCAAGGTCATAAAATTTAAAACAAAAATTACTATTTTTTCTTATGAAATGGCAGAGAATCTTCTTCTGAAGGTGATAAAACAAAAAGTACTGAACCAAATTTGACGGAAAACTGAAGAAATTATGCTTTTGCGAATTATGCTGTCAGCAATATTCATGCATTGGCAATTTCACCCACTTTGAGTCCGATTTTAGGCTAATTATGTTATTCCAGTTGATCAAATTCTAAACTATTTCACCAGCATGCCTTCTATTCTATTGATTAAGTATAAGAAACCACCCATTCAACTACTTCAACTACCCAATAAAGTGATCAGAAATTGGTAATTTGGCCAATTTCACACAAAATTCAAGAAATGCCAATTTCAAAATAGGGTCGAGAATAAACAATGCAGAAATTCCTGGCACTAAAATAACATTTTCTCAGTTCATTAGTCACGTCTCCAGGTCCACCTTATATTACGGTTGCTTTTCATTTTGAATTTTTATTCACACAAAATATAGATTTACTGTTATGCAGACTACTACATTATTGTGATAATTGTATAAATAATGTCAGTACATTCCTAAATGCATATTGGATAAGTGACATCATCTGTGTACTCTGGAATATCGGAAAAATAAAAGATTTCTACTACTTTGAGCTCAATTTCAAGCTACTTTCAGTCCTGAAACCAATCAAAAGCATCTCTATTTCTATAATATATCTTCCATTTATCAAATGAGACCAAGAAACCTAGAATACAACCATAAAAACTATACACAAATACTCCACAAATTTGGGTTTTTTAAATAAAAAACACCATCACAGTGTTTTATTCCCATCATGCACTGCTTGCCACAGGTATTTTTTATGTGGTGCACACTTACCACATAGACCCATTCTCTCATATCTAGGCCCAAATTTACCAGTCACAGCTTATCTGAGTGAGCTGAACTCATGGCATTAAACTACAGGATGACCCAGACTTCAAAACCATAGTACTACAGGGCCCACCTTCAAAGGGTTAAAGAACCCAATTTCTGCAAATGCAAATTTCTTAAATCATCATTAATCACTATTTTTAACACAAATATGCAGAATAAATGGAGTTTCATCATCACTGAAGTACAGTGGTACCTCAGGATACTAACAGCTCATAATGCGAACAATTATGTAAGCGTATTTATGTAAGTGCTTTTGTAAGTGTATGTTTGGGGACTGAAATAGATTAATCTAATTTACATTATTCCTTATGGGTATGAATTCATTCAGTATCAGCACTCGAACAACATTCTGGAGCAAATTAAATTCGTATCCCGAGGTACCACTGTATGTATTAGCAAGAATCCCCCTCAACACAATAAAGCCCACTATCACACAGCTGCCACTACTAATACTACTACCACATATACTAATACAACTACTACAGTAGACCCTGCCTTTTCAATGGGAGGGTTAATAAAGAAGGCGAGAAACACAATAGAATTCAAGAAAAAACTCGTAGCAAAGTACCAAAGTAGAGGACAACAACAGAGGGGACAATGTACCTTCTTCAGTGAGTCAGTGATTCTACGATATGTACAATACTAAAGCAGCAGGAGTCAATAAAGGCTATAGCACCAGCCAGCGATAAAGTGTAGCATTAACAGTGTAGCAAGTAAGTTAAGCAATTAAGCAAAAGCAAAAGGGCAACACGAAACTGACTCCTTAAATGTTATTGGAGGTATATGAGGTCACTGACAAACATACACCGCCCTGCCTATCTTCCACCACCCTAAACCAATGCCAGAATTTCCAAGGTACATTAAGTGTAAATATTTCTTATTTATAAAGTACAAATCTTTCTTATTTATAAAGGAGGTTTTGTGGGTAAGGGGCTTGGATTTCCAGCAAGCGTGCGTGAGCGTGTTAGATAGGAGTGAATGGAGACGAATGGTACTTGGGACCTGACGATCTGTTGGAGTGTGAGCAGGGTAATATTTAGTGAAGGGATTCAGGGAAACCGGTTATTTTCATATAGTCGGACTTGAGTCCTGGAAATGGGAAGTACAATGCCTGCACTTTAAAGGAGGGGTTTGGGATATTGGCAGTTTGGAGGGATATGTTGTGTATCTTTATATGTGTATGCTTCTAGACTGTTGTATTCTGAGCACCTCTGCAAAAACAGTGATAATGTGCGAGTGTGGTGAAAGTGTTGAATGATGATGAAAGTATTTTCTTTTTGGGGATTTTCTTTCTTTTTTGGGTCACCCTGCCTCGGTGGGAGACGGCCGAATTGTTGAAAAAAAAAAAAAAAAGTATTTCTTATTTATAAGTTACATATATTGTTTGTGTGAATAGTGTTGGTGGCTTCTGCTGCCGCCTCCATTACCACTAATACGTACAGCTTCTCTCAGTGGCCCTCATAAACCCAACACCATCACGACCGCCACTTACTCCTCACATACATAATGACATATTTTATGGGGTAGGTTTAAAAATGTAGTGTTAGAGTGTTCAGCAGAAGTTTGTGGTTACAGGAAAGTGGGTGCGGGAGGGAAGAGGAGCGATTGGTGGAATGATGATGTAAAGAGAGTAGTAAGGGAGAAAAAGTTAGCATATGAGAAGTTTTTACAAAGTAGAAGTGATGCAAGGAGGGAAGAGTATATGGAGAAAAAGAGAGAGGTTAAGAGAGTGGTGAAGCAATGTAAAAAGAGAGCAAATGAGAGAGTGGGTGAGATGTTATCAGCAAATTTTGTTGAAAATAAGAAAAAGTTTTGGAGTGAGATTAACAAGTTAAGAAAGCCTAGAGAACAAATGGATTTGTCAGTTAAAAATAGGAGAGGCGAGTTATTAAATGGAGAGTTAGAGGTATTGGGAAGATGGAGGGAATATTTTGAGGAATTGTTAAATGTTGATGAAGATAGGGAAGCTGTGATTTCGTGTATAGGACAAGGAGGAATAACATCTTGTAGGAGTGAGGAAGAGCCAGTTGTGAGTGTGGGGGAAGTTCGTGAGGCAGTAGGTAAAATGAAAGGGGGTAAGGCAGCCGGGATTGATGGGATAAAGATAGAAATGTTAAAAGCAGGTGGGGATATAGTTTTGGAGTGGTTGGTGCAATTATTTAATAAATGTATGGAAGAGGGTAAGGTACCTAGGGATTGGCAGAGAGCATGCATAGTTCCTTTGTATAAAGGCAAAGGGGATAAAAGAGAGTGCAAAAATTATAGGGGGATAAGTCTGCTGAGTATACCTGGTAAAGTGTATGGTAGAGTTATTATTGAAAGAATTAAGAGTAAGACGGAGAATAGGATAGCAGATGAACAAGGAGGCTTTAGGAAAGGTAGGGGGTGTGTGGACCAGGTGTTTACAGTGAAACATATAAGTGAACAGTATTTAGATAAGGCTAAAGAGGTCTTTGTGGCATTTATGGATTTGGAAAAGGCGTATGACAGGGTGGATAGGGGGGCAATGTGGCAGATGTTGCAAGTGTTTGGTGTAGGAGGTAGGTTACTGAAAGCAGTGAAGAGTTTTTACGAGGATAGTGAGGCTCAAGTTAGAGTATGTAGGAAAGAGGGAAATTATTTCCCAGTAAAAGTAGGCCTTAGACAAGGATGTGTGATGTCACCGTGGTTGTTTAATATATTTATAGATGGGGTTGTAAGAGAAGTAAATGCGAGGGTCTTGGCAAGAGGCGTGGAGTTAAAAGATAAAGAATCACACACAAAGTGGGAGTTGTCACAGCTGCTCTTTGCTGATGACACTGCTCTTGGGAGATTCTGAAGAGAAGTTGCAGAGATTGGTGGATGAATTTGGTAGGGTGTGCAAAAGAAGAAAATTAAAGGTGAATACAGGAAAGAGTAAGGTTATGAGGATAACAAAAAGATTAGGTGATGAAAGATTGAATATCAGATTGGAGGGAGAGAGTATGGAGGAGGTGAATGTATTCAGATATTTGGGAGTGGACGTGTCAGCGGATGGGTCTATGAAAGATGAGGTGAATCATAGAATTGATGAGGGAAAAAGAGTGAGTGGTGCACTTAGGAGTCTGTGGAGACAAAGAACTTTGTCCTTGGAGGCAAAGAGGGGAATGTATGAGAGTATAGTTTTACCACCGCTCTTATATGGGTGTGAAGCATGGGTGATGAATGTTGCAGCGAGAAGAAGGCTGGAGGCAGTGGAGATGTCATGTCTGAGGGCAATGTGTGGTGTGAATATAATGCAGAGAATTCGTAGTTTGGAAGTTAGGAGGAGGTGCGGGATTACGAAAACTGTTGTCCAGAGGGCTGAGGAAGGGTTGTTGAGGTGGTTCGGACATGTAGAGAGAATGTAGCGAAACAGAATGACTTCAAGAGTGTATCAGTCTGTAGTGGAAGGAAGGCGGGGTAGGGGTCGGCCTAGGAAAGGTTGGAGAGAGGGGGTAAAGGAGGTTTTGTGTGCGAGGGGCTTGGACTTCCAGCAGGCATGCGTGAGCATGTTTGATAGGAGTGAATGGAGACAAATGGTTTTTAATACTTGACGTGCTGTTGGAGTGTGAGCAAAGTAACATTTATGAAAGGGTTCAGGGAAACCGGCAGGCCGGACTTGAGTCCTGGAGATGGGAAGTACAGTGCCTGCACTCTGAAGGAGGGGTGTTAATGTTGGAGTTTAAAAACTGTAGTGTAAAGCACCCTTCTGGCAAGACAGTGATGGAGTGAATGATGGTGAAAGTTTTTCTTTTTCGGGCCACCCTGCCTTGGTGGGAATCGGCCAGTGTGATAATAAAAAAATAATAATA